AGTCCAACCCGCCTTCGAGGGTCTCCAGGGGACCCCGACAATTCCCCCTCCCCCAAAGAGCGGGGTCTCTTTGAGACAGACTGCGGGGGAGGGGTCCCGGACCACCTCCCTGGAGTGGGGAGAGAGAAAGCAGGGGCCGCCCTAACACGCAGCCCGTTTGTCTCTCTTAGGCTGCGGCTACCGGCCGGATTTCGACACGCCCCACGCCTCCGTCTTGGGCAATGCCCGCATCGTGGGGGGCGCGAGGGCGCGTGCTGGGAAATGGCCCTGGGTGGTCAGCATTCAGACCAGCTCCTACCACTTCTGCGGGGGCAGCATCGTCCACCCCTGGTGGGTGCTGTCCGCCGCTCACTGCTTCACCGACAGGAGGTGAGCGGGGGAGACTGGACAGCGGGGAGGAGGCCTGGCACACGGGGGGGGGGGGGGGCGCCGCCCCCCTTCTCCCCCGTCCTCCCCCTGCGGGGGGGCCGCCGGGACCCCTCCCTCGGTGGCCAGAGCGGCTCCCGGGGGTCCCTGCCCCCCCCCCATTTGCCAGCCTTCCATGCCCAGCAGGTCGGTCTGGCTGGCACGCTCCGTCTCCTGCTCTGACCCCCGCCCCCCCGCGCCCCGTACAGGGAAGGCATCCGGGTGGCGGCCGGAAGCCCCAACCTGGGCCGGAACAACGTCACCCGCTGGGTCCGGAAAATCCACCTGCACCCGCTCTACAACCCCCGGACCTACGACAACGACCTGGCGCTGCTGCTGCTGGAGAAGGCCATCCCGCACAGCTGGTTCCACACCGCCCTCTGCCTGCCAGACCACACCATCGTCCCCGACGACAACATGTGGGAGAGCTGCTTTGTGGCCGGCTGGGGCCTTACCAAAGCCGGTGAGCCCGGCCCTCCCCCCCCCCCTCTCCCCCCCCCCCCCGTGGAGGAACCCCAGGCCCCCCCCCCCTTTCCCCAGGCCCAGCCCCCCCAGGAGTGAAGCAGGGGGCCCTTCCCCGTCCGCAGCTAAGGGGGAGTGGGGGGCTTCTGAGTAGGACGGCTCACACCTGGAGCTCTGCTACCTGTGGGCCCCAGAGAGGAAGGGAGGGAGGCCCTCCCACGGAACCACGGGGGGGGAGGTGGGGCGCCCAGGGTCATCTAGCCCAACCCGCCGCTCCCCAGAGCACCCCAGACGGGTGGGTGTGCCTGAGGACCACCAGGGAGGGGGAGAGCCTCCATTTTGACGGCCCCTTTG